AAGTGTTTCTATTGGTTGGAGATCACTTCACTTTGTTGAAAACAAGTGGTTTTATCGATTGATGAGTCAAAGGTTGGAGAGATTGTGATCTCCAACCAATAGAAACACTTTCGTACCATCGTATCATCGTACAAACGGATGCATGGGCCACAGGCTTTACTGTTGCAGCCAGGGAGCAAACATAGTAGGCTACGCCTGCGCGTTTTGACGTTTCCGTTCCTGTCAACTTAGTTTGACAGGCAGTTGCAGTCATAGCCCACTGTGTTTTTGTTTAGCAACGGCCCTACACGTGTTAAGAAACATTTTCCTCGAAAACCGTTGGTCGGATCGAGAAAATTCAAAATATCAAATTTGAAGATCTTAGAGTGCCTGGCTAGATAGCGCAGTTATTTTGTTGTTCTCGGCGCAAAAAGTGTTTTCTCCATCGAAAACTCGCAATTTCTTATGAATTTTTTAGACTCATTTGGTGAAAAATGTGTTCACATTTAAAGGCAATTTCGCCGTGAACTTGAATGACTCTATTATGCACGTGCAGCACACTGCGGGCTTTAATCTCTCCAACCTTTGACTCATCAATCGATAAAACCACTTGTTTTCAACAAAGTGGAGTGATTTTTTGCTGCCGATAAAGCGATTTTGAAACAGTCCCAATGGAAAATCACCGGAATCCTATACATAATTTTGCCGATTTTGTGCTGTGCATCGCGGCTATGAATGAAATAGACACTAATCAAGGATCAATCGCTTTCAGATTAGGTTATCAAGAGGCCATGTCGGAAGCCATGCGATTTATGGTGGAAGTTGAGGGTCATTTTCCAGGCGACCCGATGTGCATGCGTCTTTTGCACCATCTTCAGAAGCACTGCGACCAGATTTCCAAGGCTCCAGCTACGTTCCCGACTTCGCCGATTCCAGAACAGGTTTTGCCGTTTCCTGTTCAAGTGCCATCGCTGCTCAAAAATGGCGTGAATGCGAACAGTCAAGCCAAAGTTTCCGACTATGCGGTGCCGAAAGCGGAGCCGGAAAACAGCAACAGCAACGATGCTCATCCGAGCGCGTTTCGCACTCAGAAAGCTGACGAGTTTGAGAAGGATCTCGGCCATGGCGGCGTCTCATACAAGTATAAAACGAACATTAAGCTGCGATTTACGCAGGATTTGGGAGCTCACGATGTCCCCAAGCGTCAGAAGCTGGACGACACTCGCAGGAATTCTTTTACCAGTTTTGAAAACCAAAGGTACGGATTGTTTTCGAACACCTCATGAATAACGCGGAAAGTCCAAGAATAGAAACTTGAAGGCTCAACTCGGGGTTTTAGTAGATTTGCCAGGTAAATAGTCCAAGGCTTAACCGTTTCCCTGAACTCTGACGCAAAATAGCGCATAAACACACAACTTGAAGGCATCCTGGACGATAAGCGCGGCTGAGATAAAGAACCTCGAGAAAGCTACATAATTTCGCAAAAAAAACATCGGTTTGAGCGTTTTATTGTTGTGGAATATTTTCATTATGCGGATGGTGGCAAATTTATCTCCATGCTAATTACCACATGTTGACTGACTGCAGATAACAAGCTTATTTTTGTCTGTGACTAGGCAAAAACACTGATAAAGTGACTTTTTTCAAATCCAAACATGAGGAGTTTTATTATCAGCACGCCATAACTACTCTATTTGGTTTAAATCATCGTCCAATCGTCAAATTTTTTACTTAACTGGCTGTTTGCATTCGATAATTCTGATGCCACACAGAGTTTATCAAGGAGTTCATTATTGCAAAGGGGAAAATTGCTATTTGCGGCGATAAATTTCAAAAAATACCTGCACCATCTGGTCAGTTGCGTAAATGTCTGCAATTTTGATCTCTAGAATTTTTTTCGTACAAACAACGGTTTTCGAGAAAACCGCTGCGGTACAATCGGGTGTATTATGCTCAACCAAGAAATGCCTGCTTTTTTGACGTTTTTGTCAAATGTGTTTAGTTCTTGTCAAAACGGTTGACAATTTAGTTTGACAAACTAAACAGGCATGGCCTACTATGTGTGTATTTTATTAACAATACTGTCAACACACGCGTTTAGTCAAGAGCGATTGTTTCAAAAACATTTGCTGAATTGTGATTGAAAATGCACATACAGACGTCCATTTTGCAATGTTGAAATTTGGTATTTGCGGCAAAAATTTTCAAAAATTCAATTTTGATCTCTGGAATTTTCTTGATAAAACAACGGTTTTTGGGGAAATCGCTGTTGTAGAGTCGGGTGTATTATCGCGAATACGCATAGTAGGTTATGCGTCCGATTTTGACGTTTTTGCCAATTTCTTTGACAGTTTAGTTCTCAAAATTCTTGACAACTTACCTTGACAGACTAAGTAGGTGTGGCCTACTATGTGCCAGGGCGGATCCAGGGGGGGTTATGGGGGTCATGACCCCCCCCCATTCAATTCTCTTCTATCCAACGATGCCAAAACGAATTCTGTGGCTCGAATGGTTCTTGAGAAACTTCGAAAAAAGCAGCGTCATGTTCAAGTGGATTTTGCAACTCAAAAAAAAAACCACACAAATCTGGAACTTCTTGAATTCAAGCATTTTTTGAGAAAACTGCCAACATTTCTCCATCCATGGTTCACTTTCTAAAAAGGCCATTTATTTATCTCTAGAATGATGTACAAATGAGCGTTCTTGCTCATTTTGCCACTGAGATATGAACAAAAACGGGACGGAAAACATGGAGTTTTGGCATAATCTTGCACCTAAGTTTGTGATATTCAAATTTCGCTTTCTGGGTCAAAACTACTCGAATTTCCTCACTAACGTTGTTACGACTGAATCGACTTTTCAATTCTCTATCCAACGA